AATTGTATCTATAACATATTCTCTGCTGTTCTGCTCTTTGTAAAGTGACAAGCTGTTGGTAATTATTTAGCTGCTTATTAGCCTTTGTAGCGAGCCTGCAGTAGGCTGTTTTCACCTGCTAATGCTAACTCTTGTAGCTTGTTTCAAACGTTTTTGTCCAAACAGCATATTTTTGGGAAATAAAGGTGAGTTTTGTTTTCCTGGTAGACAAACCATGACTGACTGCACAACTAGCTGATGTTCTTTTTTTAAAAACAGAATAAAAGTTTTGCAGTTTTCTCCACCTCAGCTAAGATCAACAATTGAACAAAGCAACAGACAGGAGAGCTGCTCAGTGTGTGCTCCATGAAACAGAAAAACAAAAGGACAAAACAACGCAAAAAAGAAAAAATTACTTTGTTTCTTATTAAAAAGCATTTAAACTGTATGGTACGACAGGGTAATGTAGTGGTTTTGACACTGAGGTATTTGAAACCAGTAATTGGCACATGTTGAAACTAAAAGGCGTTGGACTGAGTCAGGATAAAGACATACTGCAGCAAATGTCTGTCAAAAAACAAAACAAACACACACACTCGTTTGTTCTTCTATCCTCATGAGGACTTTGCATTGACTTCCATTCATTTACCGATCATCTCTATAGCCAAACCCTGACCCAATACTCTAAACCTAACCTCACCGGTACAAACCTGACCCTAGCCTAAACTCAATTCAAACCTTAGTCCTAACCTTATACCCTGACCCATCAATGGTATTTCCCCCAATGAGGAACGGGGTTTTGTCCTCCAAATGTAACAGTGGATCCTTACTAGGTTGTCTGTACCAGGAAAATGGTCAAAAATCGTTCCCACCAGGTAACAAAAACATGTACTCACACACACACAGATTTATATATATTTAAAGGCACAAGGAGTCTAAATAAAGTGTTCCTTCCTTCCTCTTTCCTCCACAATTGTGCCAGTTCGCACCGCCTGGTTGTTCTGTCGGCCATCCCTCACGTCATTCCAGTAAAAACACACAGACCAGGTCCCAAGTTCAGCCTGTAGATCAGCACTGGCACTATGTCCTGCAGGTGCTGTCAACTGCTCCAGGAACAGCCAGATATGGAAAATATACACAAGCAGAAATCAGGACACAATGTTTCACACACACTTTTACACACACACAGAGTCCACGCAGACCATGTTCCTGGAGCTTCAGCTGCTTCAGCTCAGCGCTCAATGCATCCAAAAACACTCTCGGCTGTTTTAGGTCAGCACTTGGTCGGTACACCCCAAAACACTCAGCTGTTTTAGGTCAACACTCGTTCGGTACACCCCAAAACACTCGGCTGTTTTAGGTCAGCACTTGGTCGGTACACCCCAAAACACTCGGCTGTTTTAGGTCAACATTTGTTCGGTACACCCCAAAACACTCGGCTGTTTTAGGTCAGCACTTGGTCGGTACACCCCAAAACACTCGGCTGTTTTAGGCAGCACTTGGTTGGTACACCCCAAAACACTCTCAGCTGTTTCACCCCAACACTCGGTCGGTACACCCCAAAACACTCGGCTGTTTTAGGTCAGCATTTGGTCGGTACACCCCAAAACACTCGGCTGTTTCACCCCAACACTCGGTCGGTACACCCCAAAACACTCGGCTGTTTTAGGTCAGCACTTGGTCGGTACACCCCAAAACACTCGGCTGTTTCACCCCAACACTCGGTTGGTACACCCCAAAACACTCTCAGCTGTTTCAGGCTAACACTTGGTCGGTACACCCCAAAACACTCGGCTGTTTCACCCCAATACTCGGTCGGTACACCCCAAAACACTCGGCTGTTTCACCCCAATACTCGGTCGGTACACCCCAAAACACTCGGCTGTTTTAGGTCAGCACTTGGTCGGTACACCCCAAAACACTTTCGGCTGCTTCACCCCAACACTCTGTCGGTACACCCCAAAACACTCGGCTGTTTCACCCCAACACTCGGTCGGTACACCCCAAAATACTCTCGGCTGTTTC